TTTTTATTATGTTTCTAGGTGATCTATTTTAGCAAATTCATGTGAAACTTTATTATGTTTTTGTTTTCCTTTTGATATCTGTCTTGTTATGTGTTCCACTAGAGACCTGCTTATTCTTTCCAAATTGTTATCTTTGCTTCTATGTGCATTAGGGAAAACATTGCCACATGCTCATGAAAAATCTTTACCAATTGTTCATTTCTTCTTCACCATGTTTGTCTTGTGACCTAGGTTGCGGATTTTATTGCTTCTTAGCTCTTGTTGTAGTACTTTCGTTGTTGCTCATTAATACCGTCATTTTTCACAGGCTATGAAAATGCTGCTGACACTCCAAGATCGTACCTTTCGCATAATGATATTCTAAGCTTTGAACAAGTTTCTCCTGTGCGTATATCATCTAACCTAAGCCTTTTTATTTTACTCGCTTTTAGTTCTTGATGTGTGAATATGTTCATTTATTTCCTATTCCTTCTTCAATTGATATAGGACATGTACAATGAAAGGTTTTATCATGGTAGTTTACCATTGGATTTTCAGAGGTCGTTTAATTCTACCATAAGTCAATCATCACAACAACATTATGGTGACCCCTACGCTGATGATTTCTTTCCTTTTGACTCATCAAATCAGCAGTATCTATCCCCTGAAAATATTCATGTTTCTCCAGAGTTTCACATGTTTCAGGCGAACTCTAGGCATTTTGATAGATATGCGAATGAACGAAACAATAGTGAGACTGATTATATGATGCGCTCTATGGGAAACTATGGCCTAAAAAATAATATATTGGGAGAACCTAGGGGTCAAAACCTCAACCGCTTCAGTGGAGATAAAATGTTTCTTCCAATGGCATCTACCAGAACAAGTATGAAGCACCTTGGTTCATCCGAGTTATCTGCAAATGATTTCGATATGGTTAGTTTCTGTAATCACTACCTCTACAACTCATGAGCTTCTCCTTTACATTTTTTGTATACCTCTACTTATTCAGCCTCTTATAACCTATTTTAGGCTTTTTTGCTCTACTTAAAAGGATTTTCATTTATATTCTTTCCAAGGCTTTCCTAGTTATATGTCCATTGTCTCATAACGGAGAAAATTTTATGTAGATCTAATTACTGAAATCTACGCAGGGCTCACCACATGATGCTCTTGAATCTGCTGCAAGCTTAAGTTACCGAGAGCAAGCTTATAATCTATGCAAAAGAGGCTCTTTCTCTGCTTCTTCTTCGTGTCCAAATTGGAAGAATGATTATAACTTGCCACCATTTGATGAAGCCATAAATGGAAGCTACAGCGACCTCTGCCACTATCCTGCCATGCTTGATATGTATACGGAGAGAAACAGAGGGCCTAGATCATCCAGGCTAAACGGTAAAAGTAAAATGATCACTCATGATTGCATTGATCGATTTTGTCAACAAGATCTGCTATCCCAGTTTAGGGACGCAAAGTTCTTTGTTATTAAGTCATATAGCGAGGATAATGTTTACAAGAGCATAAAATATTGTGTTTGGGCAAGCACCAAAAATGGAAACAAAAAGTTGGATGCTGCCTCTCGTGAAGCAAAGAAGAAAGAAGTGGCATGTCCAGTCTTTCTTTTGTTTTCGGTAAATCGCCTAATTTTTCTTCATCACAAACCAAAAGTTTCTTGAAAGCTGTCAATGTTGAGACTGTGAATTTCCTTGGAAGACTGCTTGTTTATTAATTCATGAAACTGCATTGCCTGGCCTTTGTCTTTGTAGATTGACTGTCACTACAGCGATCCATCTCAAGGTATTTTTGTGTATCTTTACTTCACTCCACCGAGATGTTACTGATTATGTTCTTTTGTATCGCTTTGGCTTTAACTCTTAAACTCCAAATAGAAGAATGGTTGAAGATATTTATTTTCAGGTCAATGCCAGTGCCCAGTTTTGTGGAGTGGCTGAGATGGTTGGACCGGTTGACTTCAACACAAGTGTAGAGTACTGGCAACAAGATAGATGGTCAGGACACTTCCCAGTCAAATGGCTTATTGTCAAAGATGTTCCCAACAGTCTGTTTCGTCACATTATACTTGAAAACAATGACACTAAGCCTGTCACTAACAGTAGAGACACCCAAGAGGTAAACTTCTCATTGTCTTCATGGTATATGCATAACGTTACTGTCACTGCATCAGGAGATTGATGCTTCTATTGAACCTGGTATCATTTTATTTACTCATATACTAGGGCAGTATATATATCTTCACTCTTTTGTGGTCTCCAACTCTTTTGCAGGTTGGACTGCAACATGGTATAGAGATGTTAAATATATTTAAGGGCTGTGAGATGCGTTCTCCTCGATGACTTTAGCTTCTACGAAGAGCGACAGAGAGCGATTCAAGACAGGGAAGCCAGACAACATGTTGTTCTTGAAATTCTCAGCGCCTCAGCGACCTCTGTCCCAACACATCCCACAAGTTCTCTCCATGACGACTTTGTAAGGAAAATGTCCAAGAGCTTTGCAGAGGCTTTGGCCTTGCAACACAAACCCATTTAGTTTTGAAAACCTCTTTTCTTTTGGGATTTGGCTTGAATAGGCTTTGATTATGAGTTTTCTACTCTTGATTATGTATACTGACCATAGTCTTAAGGACCATAGGTTGTAAGATAAATTCACGGTTCTAAAAATCTGACACTTAGACGGTCTAGAATGACCCTTGAAAAACCAAGTGTTTTTTGGTTTCGGCCGGCGCCTAAACGATCAAGGCAGCTGAGTAATCGTTCTAAACTCCCACTCAATACATTTAGAGACTACTTGGCCTCTAATCCGAAGCCTAAACAGTATAGAATCTATTTGCATTCCCGATAAATTCAAGGATCTTAAAAATGTCGCTTCGTACTGTCTAAGATGTACCCCCATGTACCGATATTGACCAAATCAACGGTCTAGGCGGCCAAGTAATCTATCTAACCAGCTAAGTAAACTGTCTAAGCGGTTTAAACACAGGATGGCATCCGAAAGATTGCTTGTGTAGAGGGAAGAGATCCGATTAAGTGGGAAATTCACTCATTACAACAAATGTCCGAACAAAGAAACACTTAAAAGAAAGATAGTTTTTGAAAATCTGAAACATAGGGGCGAGAGCACTAAGACCACATGGTAAAGAAAGATTACAATCCCTAATGTCACGTGCCTTCTGTCTAGGTCAAAGCCATTCTAGGAAAGGTCGAGATGAATGAGACAGCCATCAAAGCCACGGCTAGAGCCACAACTGCGCGTCCGTCCTTCGCCGAAGCTGATCCTGCCTTCTCATCGGACGTCGCTGGAGTTGCCGGAGATTTCCCTGCTGGCGCCCCGACCGTTGGTGAAGTGGCATTGCTTGTGAATACGGCTGCGTCTGGTGAGCTCGGCGATATCCCAAGAAGCTCTGTTCACATTTTAACGTAGCGCGTCACTTATACAATATAATAATGTCACACTATAAAGCTTACAAAAAAATGTATTTTATCAAAAAAAAAAAGTCAATTGGTCCAAAAGATTGTTTTATTACAAGAACTGTAAATACCTATTCCTTTTTTTTGTTTTCTTAATTTCAGCTAATTTTTACACTTTTTTCATTATATAACGCGACATTATTATCGGTACTTTGTATGGTTTAAATATCCAACATGAATCAACTCAATGTGAAATATTTCAGAGCAGTGAAGAGAATAATTATGTTACGAGTAATTCATAAGGGACCAACAGAAAATCAAATTTTTATAAAATGAGTATAAATTGATGTGTAAATAAAGTAGGTTATAAGTACTTATTTATAAATGAATAACGACTTAAATGCGCTTCTCTGTAAATATAGTTGCAACCCGATGCAATTGTCGCATTAAAGTATGGATAGCTAGTTGGTTGCTGGTTAGTTTCTGGTTAAAGCATACAAATTAATTTTCCTATATAGATCCGTTAGACGA